CCTACTATACGTCCTTTACTTAGGTAGTCTCTCTCTCTCTCTCTCTCTCTCTCTCTCTCTCTCTCTTTCTTTTACACTTTTTGATCTTCTCCAATTCTCAAATTCTTCCTTCTTTTCCACGCATTAAATAATCTCAAGCATTCAGATTCACACATCGTACTCTAATATAGAAATTCGAGTAATATCGAAAATTAAAATGAACTCGTGATATTGCGAATGAAAACGAAAACTGACGCAAAGTGAGGAAAATAAAAGGTGTTCGTATTGTATTGCCAAGGATTTCATACAATTTGATCTTGTTTTCGAAGAAATTTCAATCAAGCCCGTTTGTTTCCTAAATCCTTATCCGCTACCACGAAACAACGAAAGCGAAAATCACTCGCAAAGAGGTTTCAAACTTCAGAAAGGTTCCCGGAAGAGTGAGAAGAGAGTGAGTGAGTGAGAGAGAGAGAGCGACAAACAAGCGATTCGTCGTTTGAAACCGTCTGTCGTCGAATGCAAATTGTGGTCCCCCGTGGTGCATTATCTTTTTATCTATCTCGAAAAGAGAATGCCCCTCTTCTAAGATTAACTTTCATCGAGAACATCATAGTTCCCCCTTTAAACCGCATTACCGTTCTCAATTCCGTTCGCAAATATCCCGTCAAATGAGCGCAAGAACTTCTTTACTATTCCACTTTCCATCAACCGTGGCGTAGTAGCGCTTTTCCAACTCGACTCGAAACCCCCAACTACTTCTTCTCCATCACGGTCCAACGTCTTAAGGTAGAAAAAAAAAAAAAAAAAAAGTGATTGGAATTACGGCTGAAAGAGCCGAGGTTCTTTCGGAATTAAAGAAGTGGGTAGCGGTTCTCTTTCAACGTCTTCACTCCACAGAATATCGCGTTACCCTTCGATCATTTCGATTTCTCCCAAGTGGTTCCACTCCGAGTGAAAAACATTTCGACGGTCGAAAGGGAGGGATGTTTCTCGGCCGAGAGAATCGAGCCTCAACATCCTCCGCGTAATCACGGCAGCTACTTTCCCCTTTTCCCGTTGAATTTTATATTTCTGTTGCAAGCTCCGGAAGGGGAGCATCGACTGAGAAAACACGGTCAAAGGAATCACCTTGGTTGAAAACACCGTCAGCATCCTACGGAACAGCCACTTCTCTCTTGCAAACTTGCGAGCCCGCCGACCAAAAACGCAAAAAAATCTGGCCGAGGACCGGCTACGAATAAACTCTCTCTTTCTCTCTTATTTCATTCCTGGTTACTCGTTTTTCATCGCGAGCCTGTTTCTTTTCTCGAGTCAAGGGAAAGCCGTGTTTCCAACGTAAACGAAGGACTCCCGCTTATAAGGCGGATGCGATTTTCATAAATAGTCGAGAAGTCAGTAACTCGGGGAATTAAATCCATCGACGTTACGTTTCTGGAACTTTTAATCTTGGAAATTTTAATCCTCGATTGATCGAACCGTGTCGAGTTTCGTTTGGAATTGATATTTGGAATACGTAAGTCCGTTTAAAGTGTAGAAAAATATTTAAAAAAAGATCATACGTCGCAGATTTTTTTTTTTGATTGGAATTCATTCATTGCTGACCAAAGATTTCGAAAGATTCACTCGCGCTTTAATTATTTCTCGGATTCATTTCTTTTACAAACTCAATTTCTTTCCATGTATTTCCACCATTTCCTCTCAGAATTCTTTTTCTAATCGTAAATACAAGAATGATCGTCGCACGAGAGTTTTTTCAGTGCGCACTACTGTTCGCAAAAAAATAGAAAAGTATCAAAAGGGTCAATGAAACATTCGCGTGCGACGAATAACGGAAGTACTCGTCGGAAAGGGAATGCAAAATGGCTCCTCCGTCCGACAATGCTCGGAATATAACGCATAAATATCTCGAGTCTCGCACGAATACTCGCTCGAATAAATTTGGCCGTGTTCGAGACTGAAAATTGAAAAATTCAGGAAAAGGGATCGAGTCAAAATATTTCTTACCGTTTCGTCGTCCGGGCATTCAAGAATTCGCGGTGTCGTTGCCCGCCCACGCGTGTTCACGTTGACGTCTAAACGCACGGCCAGAATTCAATTTCGTCGCGCGATGCGTTCAGCCTGTATTTCATAATTGAAATTCTTACTGTAACGCAGTAATTTGTGCGCTCTTTGTGCCGTGACATTGCTCTCTTTGATCGACGTTCTTCAAAGTCGGACCACGCAACCGGAAATCATCATTTATTGGTTCACGCTCCACTATCGAAAATCGAGGCGCGTGGCAGATTAGAAATTTTTCCCTTTCTGCGAGCACTTTGTCGTACAAAGTCGTTGTCGGATGGGAAACTTGATTGACCGTGGAACAATACCGTGCCGTTCGGCCTTTTCCTCTATATTTTCGCGTAATCATCCTCTCGAAACGAGTTTATCCAAGACAATATATATATAAAAGGAAAAGTAACCCATTCTTTTTCCTTTTTTTTTTTTTTGATCGTTCAAAATACTTTCAATTCCTAATTTTCAAATTTCTGTAATTAATTTTAATCTTTATTTCCGCATTTGATTTAAAAAGTATTGGATTTCAATTTTATTCACTGCTCTTTCCAAACACCCCCGTTTACGATCGTTTACATTGTACTCATTCATCAAAAAGTTTCACGTACACATCTACTTGGACTTCGCCTTCGCAACAACGTTATTCCCCCAAGTTTAAACTTGGAAGGGAATCAGGGAAATCAGGGAAAGTTGAAATACGCGGCAACATCAATTTTTCTTGTTCGAAACGATTCAATGCCTTTGATTACATATTCTATCTTGGGGGGGAGGAAAAATAGGCAACAATGAGCAGGAACGTGATCGCATAGAACGTTACATACAAACGCGAGAATAAATGGGTGGATGAAAAAGTAGTGGCAAAAGGGAATAAATATTTCTCTACGAGACAGGATATATTTTTGTCGAAATATCGCGTTAATTTCAACAATCACGATCGAAACGAACCGTCGTTACCGCAACGGTTAACATTAAGCTCTCGTTATTCCCCCCTCTTTGTCCCACTGAATATTCGTTTTAACCCATGTTTCAAAATTTAAAACATCCTGTTTTCGGTTTTCACGGTAAAGCAATGTCAATGTTCAACTTCCCCGTGTTTCGCCTGGAGATTTATATCCGCGAGCGGGTGTATTTCTGGTTTCGACTAGCGGTAGAAAATGCATAACTATAGAGAGAGAAAAGAAAAAAAAGAGAAATAACAGAGAGAGAGAACGTCCTTTCTATCGTATCGTTTACATTAAAACGATCACCGTATTCAAGCCATCGTATTAATTCTGTTTGCGTTCCACTTGTTCTCGTTGAAACGAACCTCGGCTTTTCGAACTTAAAACAATGATACGAGAGTCGATTGAAATATCAGTTGCTCATAAAGAGATCGAATTGGAGCGAAAATATTCTATGGATGTTGAAGGAGGAAGAAAAAAAAGAGAGAACTGGTTCTGGTGTGATAATATTCTAGTTATTCGTATCGTAATTCGTGCGATGGTTTGACACAGAAGAGGTATTTGTATTTGTATATATCAGGAAGAGTAAGAGGAGAAAGGATCTGCGAAGCTTAACTCGGATAGCATGGTTGTAACTCGGATCATAAAGAGCGCTTTCTCGAAGTTAAAAGTACTTCTTCTCCCTTACTTATTGCGCGGCTCAAAATTTTTCTTTCAAATACAACTTTGCGTGGAACGAATAAGATTACGCTCGATGGTTGGAAAGTTTACACGGAACAAGGTAGACGCAATAGTAAGGAAGAAAAGAGAAGGATTGCGCAAGGCGCTTTTCGCTTTTTGCCCGAAATTGTAATTGAAGAAAAGGAATCAATGATCGGAAACGAAAAACTTTTCGACTTAGCATCTTGATAATAATTTATAACTCGTCGATCGACGAGCGAGAAAAATCTTTGAATCCTAATTAGAAGTTAGATTTTCCGATAAGAAACTTTTCTTTCAAGACAACTGGTAGGTGGAAAGCAAAGATGAAGTCACGTCCCGTCCATAAACCGATTTCCAAAGTCTTAACGTCGCGCACGTTGCTTGTTTTCGTGGAAATGTTTCCATCCACGTTCAAGTTACAACTTTCCCCTATAATATCTTCGACAACCTCTTACACCCGCCGAGAAAATAAAGCTTCGAACTTGGAATATTCGATGACTGGAAAGACTGGAACGGGAAGAGGAAAATCCTTGGCGAGATGGTTCGAGAGAGATGGAAGAGAGACAATAATGGAACAGCGATGAAATCAAGGGGAAAAATAGCGCGTCGCGGGAATATTTGCGAGTGGGAAATTTAGCCGAGGGGGTTTCCAAGATTTCGTACGCGGACGAGACGAAAGTCTCGTTAAGTCGAGAGCACGGCGTCGCTTTCGCCAACTTTCCGTTCCAAACTTTCCGTTTATTAAGAGAAATTTGGAAACTTCTTCTTTTGTTCCAACTTCCTCTCAACTCGCATTTGCATCAACACGTAACTACGAGACTGCCATCCGTTCTCAAAAATTCTTTCTTCCCTCTTTAAAAACTTCCCGACAATCCCGATTTCCAAAATTTCTAAAATTTACAAACAAACAGATCGAACAAAACGATCTCGTTAAAAGACTCGAAAGAAAGTCAAAACTCGAACGTCGTTTCTCTCGCATCGCATCGCGTGATAATTCGACGAGCCGTGAGAAAGGGGAGGGGCAAGAGAGATTTCTGGAGAATGCGCCTCTGTGAGGCGGCCTGATGAGGCTATTATTCCGTGTACGTACCTTGGAGAGGGTGGTGGGGTGCGGATAGAGGTTGACGAGACAGCTCTGCCGTCTGAGCCGGTAGTCCCAACGTGTCTCCAGATGCGGAATCTCCATGGTGTCGCAGATGCTTTGCACGTGGGAGGCGGTGTGCGCGCTCTGCGGCCCAAAAATCGCCGCCACCCCGCTTCGCAGCAAGTGGCACACTGAAATCAAACAACGGCCCCCCTCCTGTTATGTACACTCGCGCTCTATTTCCAGTTATTTGCACTCTCCGTTTGCACTGGATTACTCCGATTTTCGGAAATTGGTTCGGGTTCGGGAAAAATTTTTCCGATTTTTCGAAGGGTTTGCGGATTATAGGGGCGTGGGTGAAGGGTGCGGCCAGGATTTTACTTCGCCAATTTATTTGGAAAAATAGATATATTGGGTTACGAGAAATATTGATTAAATTTTTCGTTTGGCGATAATGAAAGAAATAACCATTGAATACGAAAGTTCTGAATATTTTGAAATTCGTATTATTGTGAATATTAAATGAATGTGAACTTTTATCAGAAATTCGAATAATTTGGAAAACGTACACGATAAACCAAACCGTTCTAGTTCAAAATAATCTTTTAGCAAGTAATATAGGGAAGGGTGGGGAGAATATTTGAAATCGATGAAACTGCTTGAAATTTTACCATTCGAAAGAATGAAATTTCAGATAGTAGCTATTCGCAAAAATGCAGTTTCAGCTCCTAAAAAGGTTATATCGCGCTGCAGTCGAGTAGTAAAATAAAGAGGATCATTCAGGATCGTACGATACCGAACCGCAAAGATCTGGACCGCAGAAACGCGTAACGTAACTATCGCTCGACCGCCATTATCGATTAATCACCCAAATTCACGAAACTTCTCTCGTACAAACTTTCTCCCCTATATTCCGTTTCCCATTGCGGGATCGTAATGGCAAACGAATCATCATTCCGGATTATTCTCTCTCCGCCATATTTTTATCGATCTTTTCGCCCCCCATCTTCAATGTTGATTCTTTTAAACAAATAAATTAAACATTTAGTAAATAATTCGATAAAATTATTCCGGATCAAGTGTTGATATTCCGAGCGTTTAATTTTTTACAAAGAATATTTTTCGAATAATCCATTTGTGCATTACGATTCGCAGATTTTGGAAAATGTTTTCATACTCTTTAATAAAATTTAGCTCGGCCTGGAATTAAAACAGAAATTGTTTTCAAAAATTTGTACAACGGTAAAAAAAAAAAAAATTATACTCGAGCGCAAACAGTTCAGTTTGCGTTCAGGCGAATAAAAAAAATAGCATAAAAAATATCCCCTCAAAATGAAAAATTGGTATTTACGATCGTTGGTGATGCAATCGCAAAATCACGAATTCGATTCTTCAACCTTTTCCCTTCCGACACCTGGTTTTATTTTCTCGACACCTGGAAAGAACACTCCTCCGAATGGAAATCGAGGCAGCGTTAATTAACGAGGTAGCAAGGTAATCACGTTAATGCGCAACATGTTTAATACGTTTCATTACATTGCCGGCAGTGCACGAGAAAGCAGATTATCGAATGCCAATCACTCGTAATTAGTCGTGACAGATAATATTTTATAATTGGATTCGTTCCTCTCCTTTCCTTTCCTTCGATTCCGTCCGATATTCGCTTCGACTCGATATTCCCGCCCCTCCCTTTCAATTTTCCGGTTCGTTACGCGCGTTAATCTTGCAAGATTTTGTCAACGGCCTCTCTTTCCCATCGTCTCGATTAATTATTAAGATCGGCTTTCAAAGATCGAAAAAAGAGAAGGAAAGCGCCACGGTAATCCGTCATTAATGATAAACCAGTTTCATCATCTTCGTCGACCAAGTTACTACGTCCAAATTGACGGATCCATTGGATTTTTTTTCAAACGGTATAAACATTCCTCGAATTTTCCCTCCTGTGATTTTAAATAGAATAGAGATACGTTGGAAGAAGAGGAGAAATTGTTAAGATGAATGCATCCTTCTATTTCCTAAGCTAATCGAGCATTTTTCTCGAGTTTTCCTTGCTTGTAAATACGTCGAAATACATTGGAAAATGTTCCGTTCCATTTCGTATCGTTATATCTTCCATTATTTTCAAATTCTTGAATCAAATAACAACACATCTCTTAAATACCTGAAAATATAAATTCCATCAGCAAATGCAACTTCTCTCAACGCGATCAGAATTAATAATCCTTTCCCTTCGATCAAAATTAACGTGAAAAGTTATTACTCCCTCGAACTTGTGAAGAATAAAAAGCGAAGAAACGGATGGAAACGCGCTCGAAACGAACGCTAGCCGAGGAATCACGAGAGGGATCACGCAACAATCGTCAAACGCCGTTATTACCCGTTTCGATCATTTATTCGAGGGGAGGCCAGTTGAAAGGAGGACGTCCCCTGCCAGGGGTCAGATTTTATTTCCACAAAAGGATCGATCAAGGTCTCCCCGTGGTGCTTACGTATCATCCTCTCTATAATCGGTCGGCAAACTCAGCTTCCGAGGGGGCAAAGAGGAGTATAAAGAGAGAGAAAGTCGAATCCTCAAAGTAATAGCGGACAACGCTCGAGGCGTTTTCAAAGTTGAGCCCGACGTATTGAAATTCTAGATGGAATTTCATTGGACGGAACCCGGGGCGAAATTCGCGAATCTGTGTACACTGTGCGAAAAACACGCACATGGGTATCCATACGTATCGGCTTCGTGTATTAATCGAAAAAGGGACGAGTTTCGCGTTTATGTTATCCCGTGATTGTCCGTTGTCGAGAAAGGGATAGATGGAATGCGAAACTCGAGTGCACGATACCTATATTTACACGGAAATATTACAATGTATATATCCAGGTTCGATGGATGGATTTTTTCTCTTTTCGAAATGATGGACGATGGATGGAAACGTTTAGAGAGATTCGAATTGTTTCAACTTTTTCGTTTAAACCGAACTTTCGACCCGATCGTTTCGAGCGGTATAATTCGAATGATAATTTTTCCAAATATTTTATTCAAAGAATAGCGAGCACGGTTCATTGAAAATGTACACACGAATTTTCATTTTCACGGGGAAAGAACTTCTTCCCTTGTTCCGGAATATTTTCCTTTTTATACGAATGAATGCAAAGTGTGGAGGGTGTTCGTTTGTCCTTCGGAAGAAGAAGAAGAAGAAGAAGAAGAAGAAGAAGAAGAGAAAAAAGAATTGAAAGAACAAACGGAAGAAAACTTTCTCCAAGCAACTTTCTTTGCTCCTTCAAATATTCCTTTTTACTTGGGTATCTTGGAGAACTTGGGGGAGAACTGTTTCGGAGAAGAGGGCACGCGCATATCTCGAAGACGAGGTGAAGATAAAGAAAAATCGCGTTTCAACCGTGATCACCGTGCGCGCCGAGGAACGAAACGAACGCGATACCCTGATATATGCATTTTGCAACATATCCGCGGAAGAAATACGATATAGCTCGGAGCCAGACCACGTATTTCCTGGTTGGATCCAGTTGGTATCATCCTGGCTTTGCGAGTTGATAGGATTATCGCTTGCTAATGTATCAAAGCCAGTTGGCAAGCTGTGCGCAGCCTGAGAAACACACCTACCATCCCTTTTGTTCCCCGACCAAAACTCCAGTTCAAATGCTTCTAACTCCTCGGGTTTCCCTCTAAACGACCAACCACGGAGTTGGTAATTACAGGTGAGTGATTCTGGATCGTCTAACTTCCAATAAAAGAAAAATATAAATTATCAATTGGACGCTAAATAAATCGATTGGACGATGATATCGGTTATCTTTCCTTGATAAACATAATTCAATTTTCAATTGAATTCCTTTTCAGAACTGAGGGATAAGGGAATAAAAGAAAAATAAACAAAGGTAACAAGATGGATAATCGTGAGGATAATTTCAACACATTGCCAAGAAGAGGCGATAAATCGTCATCTCCCGCTGATATCCGCGTCACGTTCGTCTCGAATGTATGTATAAACTTGATCGCGTCAAATAGTAATTCTGTAATATATGATCCGGTCGAAGTATGAGAAAGTTCGTGAATGGAATAAAATCGTGGGTGAAACCGAGGGCGAAATTATTACTTCCGGTATTATTCGAGCGGGGAAGGGACTGGAAAAGATACAATCCTTCCTGCCCAGGAAACGATATACGCCTTTATCCTCGGGAGGCTTCTCTCCGTCCGTATCCATTTGAGTGTTTCGCTATGTCCGCCGGCTCTGAAACTCGCAATTCCACCTGGTTTCCCACCCAACCAACGGACCACTCTTCTTCCTTATTCAAGATTAGGCCGTCTTTGTGTGCGTGCTCACCTACTCCACCTTACCTCCGTTATCCTTAGGATTTTTGTCTTGTCGTGGATCCCTCCACTCTACTTCCTTCTTGTCCCCCTTAAACCATCCTTAAACCAGAACACTCTCTAATTTTTATTCAACGCACCGTGATTCGTACCCTTCATTCCGTTGAATCGAGAAAGAGAAAAAAAATCTTTTGGACTTGGTCAAAATTTCATTATAAGAAAAAGAAAAAAAATTGTGTGACAACAGGGATCGATCGATGGACGGTTTACTTGCGAAATACGATTAAGGTCGATCGACTTCGAGATTCCTTCGAAAGATTTAAACTCGTTCCGGAGTAAATTTCTTCGGAAATTTTATCGAACGAGCGATATTTTGCGGCGTCTACCTTCCTTAAAATCCTTTAAATATCCGTAATAGCGAACGATACGACCACGAAAACATCATCATTCCCTGGCCAATGGGTATAGCGCGGTTAATAGGGTAGTTCATTTCACGTGATAGAGAGAGGAGGGAGGGGGAAGGGAGACGAGAGAAGAAAGAGAGGAGGGAATGGAAGGGTGAATGAGCGGCCGTTCCAGACATTTATAGCTTCTACCCTATTGAGTCTCGATCGGTAGCTCGATTGGAAAACTCGCGTATCCCGATCTCGATCGAATGCACGCGTATCGCGCGTTTAAAAACTCGAACTTGTCGTTGCCTCGGAACAATCGTGCATCGACGTGAAACGGCTGATCGCTCTTATCGCTTCTCTCCACTCTTTCCCCTCGCGTGTCTTCACTCGTCCCAATTTCTTTCCAACAAACAAGATTCTCCACAAGAGTAATTACTTCAAAATCAGCGTGGATACGTGTGATCACGTATGATCGAGA